CAGGTAGTGGACCGAGTTGACCGAGTTGACCAGTATAGTGGACCGAGTTGACCGAGTTGACCGAGTTGACCGAGTTGACCAGGGTAGTGGACCGAGTTGACCGAATTGACCGAGTTGACCGAGTTGACCAGGGTAGTGGACCGAGTTGACCAGGGTAGTGGACCGAGTTAATCGAGTTGACCAGGGTAGTGGACCGAGTTGACCGAGTTGACCGAGTTGATCGAGTTGACCGAGTTGACCGAGTTGACCGAGTTGACCGAGTTGACCGAGTTGACCAGGGTAGTAGACCGAGTTGATCGAGTTGACCAGGGTAGTGGACCGAGTTGACCGAGTTGCCCGAGTTGACCAGGGTAGTGGACCGAGTTGACCGAGTTGACCGAGTTGATCGAGTTGACCGAGTTGACCGAGTTGACCAGGGTAGTGGACCGAGTTGACCGAGTTGACCGAGTTGACCGTGTTGATCGAGTTGACCGAGTTGACCGAGTTGACATGATTCGAGTAGGAGGATTGAAGAGATCGGATTTTACATAAGGGGGTTAGTGAGTGTGGATTTCCATTGAGGGGGGTTTAACTCTGGATTTGGATTAAACTATAGGGGGTCAAGTCGCTTGGATAGAATTTTTAAGGGGCCAAGGCTCCTGGATGAAGGGGGGGGGTTCAAGGCCCTTGGATAATAATGAAAGGGGAGTCAGACAGTAGAAAATCCAAGATCTTCACCCCCCCTTCCAAATTTTTAAAAACAATTTATACAGTATAATGTCCTTCATTAGAACAAGAACTAGTGAGTAAAATGCAACTGAGTATTTAGATTGTCTCTCCAAGGAGGTTAAAAAAAGTTTTAACCTCCTTGGTCTCTCAATCGCTATCATTCGTAGTGGCGAACATTATCCTGGAAGCATCAGTCATGTGAGATCATGTGAAATATGGTCTGATTAAATCTGCGCTCCTAGCGGCCGGCCCGGTATTACACCAGGGGGCGGCTGGTGTAATACCGGGCCGGCCGCTTGGAGCGCAGATTTAGTCAGGCTAATATGGCGGTCTCGTTTTACTACGAATGATGTCTGATTTTTCTAGTATACACATAAGCACGGTGTTTTCCTTTGTTGCGTAATCAACCCACCGGACCGGTTTTATCCACCCACCCAGTCCCTATATAAACGCGTCCCTGACCTGCTCTGTTTTTGTCAGTACTGACTCTGCAGCCGTGAGGATCTGTGTCGTCGTGAAAACATCGTGCAGTACTTCGAGCGTCAGTGACAGTGCATCTTGGTAAGTATTTTCTTTTTCTGTATTTGTTTGCTATCAGTACTGCCATGTGGCTCCTTGTTGTACGACCGACCATGGTGCATGCATTATACACATATGTATGCATTATGTATATTTGTATGATATCTCATTTGTATGATATCCCGTGTTCACTTGTTGTGAATATGCAATGATCGGTTACATTTCTATATGAATTTTTCAATATAGCAGGTGAGAGTCCGCACATTTACCAGATACTAAATTCCGTAATATAGTTATGTTATACTTGTTCCTGCAGGGTTACGAGTTTCACCAGCATGGCGACCAGGGCTGAATCTCACCTGAAACAAGGGAAGGGAGAGAGTGGGCATGGAAAGCAGAATTCTCAGCGTACCCACAAGTGCGGCGAGTGTGGCAAGAAGTTTCGGTACCTGAGTGAGTTGAAGCGACACGTGTGGTTTCACAAAGGAGAGAAACCCTACCGATGTGAGGAATGCGACAAAAGCTTCAGTCAGCTGGGCAATCTGACGACTCACATGCGGACTCACACGGGTGAGAAACCGTATAAATGTGAGGAATGTAGCATGTGCTTCAGTACGCTGAAAAGGCTGGGGTTGCATATCAGAACCCACACCGGTGAGAAACCTTACAGGTGTGAAGAGTGCAGCAGACAGTTCAGGAGATCTGAAGACACACATGAGAACTCACACAGGTGAGAAACCGTACAGGTGTGAAGAGTGTGGCAGACAGTTCAGTAGGGTAGATAGTCTGAAAATACACATGCGGACTCACACTGGTGAAAAGCGGTACAAGTGTGAAGAGTGCAGCATGCAGTTCAGCAGACTGGATAAACTAAAGGAGCACATGCGGAATCACACAGGAGAGAAACCCTACAATTGTGAGGAATGCAGTAAGCAGTTCAGAGATCTGGCTAATCTTAAGAAACACATGAGAATTCACACAGGCGAGAAACCGTACCGATGTGAGGAGTGCGGAAAGCAGTTTCGGGAGCTGTCAAATCTAAAGACACACATGCGGACTCACACTGGCGAGAAACCGTACAGATGTGAGGAGTGCAGCAGGCAGTTCACCAGACTGAGAAGTTTAAAGACACACGTGAGGACTCACCGAGCGGAGAAACCGCACATGGCTTAAAAATGCAACGGAGGCTTCCGTCGGATTGCCAACATGAAAACCCATATCGACAAAAGTCTGTCAACCGCTGTGTAAGATAGTGGGATCGTTTTAATGCAAGTACTGTCTGATTTCATTGTGTTTCTTTTGCCAAGGTATTTACTGTTTTTCTATTTGTAGTGTACTGTCTACACGACTCCATTGTCAAGTAAACAATAGCGGTGTTTTAATATCACTATCGATGCATGCTCCATAGCCTTTTGATTAGTGCTAGAAGTCGTGTTTGAAATGCGAAAGTGTAGTATTTAGACAACATTTACATGGTAGGACACCGTTCATTTAACCGTAATGTGTCATTGTCAGTGTGCTAACTTAGTCAGCTACATGTAGGCATGCAAATCTAGAGCTTTAGCCTTTAGCCTTACTGTTATCAATTTGTCGAAATGTAGTTTCTTTGTTTTAGTATCTGTAAATATACTGCATTATACGAGAAAATGTCCTTGACATAGAACAAGGAAATTTATATATAATATACAGTGAGTGGTAACATGATAGTTTCAACAATACATTCAGAGATGTAATGTGTTGATGTGTTTATTAATCACCATCTTTATTATAAGTCTCCAAGTCGGTCTCTTTTGTCTGCGAATGATGTTGTCTGATTCTTCTCCATGCAAATCAGCATGGTGGATTCCTTTGTTCCGTAATCAAGTAAAACTCAAAGCACGTAATGTGTATTGGCTTTCTTGTTTCTTTTCTAGCTTCATATCGTGGGTGTTGTCTGTCTGGACGTGTTGTCTGATTCCCTCTATGCAAATGAGCACATGTAACATGTTATAGTTTCCTTTGATTCGTAATCAAGTAGAGGCTATCGGACCGGTTTTATCCACCCACTCAGTCCCTATATAAACGCGTCCCTGACTGCTCTGTTTCTGTCAGTACTGACTCTGCAGTCGTGAGGATCTGTGCCGTCGTGAAAACATCGTGCAGTACTTTGGAGCGTCTGAGAATCTTGGTAAGTGCTATGATTTTGTTTTCCTGTATTATCTTACTAGTATTTAACTATGAGTATTGCCATGTTGCACTTTTTAGTAGGTTAGATTGTAGATCTGCCTATGTGTACATTTTAGATCAACTTTCAATACCCGATTTTGCTATACTGGTCTAATCAGGATCACAATTTTTGCAGACTTTTTGCACAAACATTTATACGTTAATGTTCTTCATGGAAAAACTCTAATGTACAATTGTACCTTATTCCTTTAGGTTTGACCAATATGGAGACAGCTGAATTCCGTCTAGAAATAGAGGACGGAGAGAGCAGACGTGGAAAGGAGGATTCTTCCGGTACCCACAAGTGCGGCGAGTGTGGCAAGGAGTTTCCTAAACGGAGTAAACTAATGCGACACATGCGGACTCACACGGGTGAGAAACCTTACCGGTGCGAGGGATGTAACAAATGCTTCAGTCTGCTGGGTAGTCTGAAGAGACACATGCGGACTCACACTGGTGAGAAACCGTACCGATGTGAGGAATGTGACAAAAGCTTCAGTCTCCTGAGTAATCTAAAGACTCACATGCGGACTCACACAGGTGAGAAACAGTACCAATGTGAGGAATGTAGCAAGTGGTTTGGTACGCTGGGTGATCTGAAGAAGCATATCAGAACCCACACCGGTGAGAAACCCTACACGTGTGAGGAGTGCAGCATGCAGTTTAGCGAGCTGGGTAATCTGAAAAGACACATGCGGATTCACACTGGTGAGAAACCGTACAGATGTGAGGAATGCGGCAGATGTTTTGTTAAGCTGAGTGATCTAAAGAGACACATACGGACTCACACTGGTGAGAAACCTTACAGATGCGAAGAGTGTGGCAGACAATTCAGGGAGCTGAATCACCTGAAGAGACACATAAGGACTCACACAGGCGAAAATCCCCACAGGTGTGAGGAGTGCAGCAAGCAGTTTAGCCAACTATCAAATCTAAAGAGGCACATGCAGACTCACACATGAGGAGTCCTACATGTGTGAAAAATGCAATAAAAAATTTCGTCCTGGTGTTAAACCCGTGTAGATCTTTCATTATGTTGCAATGTTTGTATTTGATAAACGGGCCGGGTCATTTGAGAAGTCAGTTGCCCGTGTTATTCTTTTCATCTAATTTGATCTTAGTTACTCTTTTAGTTACTCAGTTTTGAACTCTCTACATGACTCCAATGTAATGCTAAGAATAACGCAATTTCTATCACGATCGTTGCATGCTCTGTAGACAATTGGTTAGAACTAGAAGAAATGTGTGGAAATGCGATTGTGGCGTGATAGACAGTAACATAATCAGACACCACTTGTTTGAAGTCATAGACCGACTTATATAACTAGGTTTCCTTGTTTTATTAACTGTAATTCTGCTTTTTACATTTTCTACTATCGGTACTATTCATTGCAGATGTACAGCAGTTTTGGCAATAAAGTCATACACGTAATATGATTAATGTTGTCTATATTGTTTACTCTTTAAGTGATTGTTGTCTGATATCCCCTATGCAAATAAGCACGGTGCTTTCCTTTGTTGCGTAATTAACCAACCGGACCGGTTCAGTCCCTATATAAACGCGCTCCTGACTGCTCTGTTTCTGTCAGTACTGACTCTGCAGCCGTGAGGATCTGTGCCGTCGTGAAAACATCGTGCAGTACTTTGGAGCGTCCTTTGCATCTTGGTAAGTGTCGAATTTTCCTGTATTTTCTTTATCTGTAACTTCCATGCGGCATCCATTTGTAGATTACTTTATAAATCGGCGGGCGAAGAACTTACTTTTCATTCTTGGCTATTCATGCTAATCTGCCATTTTGAATCATTATCATTTTCGATGATCGAAACCAGGTTTAACGCCACACAAACCCGAATATAAATTTCTGTAAACCAAAACCGATACATGTAACTGACATGTTTAGGTGCATTTGTCAGTATGCAACTTACACACCATAAAAATTTCATGACCCCTTTGAAGCAGATATATTTATTTTTTTCACTTCTGCAGGATCAGTAGTTTAGCATGGCTGCCAGAGCTGCATCTCATTTGAACGGAGAGAATAGGCGTGGGGAGCAAGATTCTCCACGTACCCACAAGTGTAGCGAGTGTGTCAAAGAGTTTCGTTACCCGAGTCATCTGAAGCAGCACATGCGTACTCACACAGGTGAGAAACCTTATCAATGTGGGGATTGTAGCAGGCGGTTCAGTGAGCTGGGTAGTCTGACGACACACATGCGGACTCACACTGGTGAGAAACCGTACAGGTGTGATGACTGCGGCAAGCAGTGCAGCACGCTGAGTAATCTGAAGAAGCACATGTGGACTCACACTGGAGAGAAACCGTACAAGTGTGAGGAGTGCAACATGCAGTTTAGTGCACTGTCAGATCTTGGAAGACACATGCGGACTCACACGGGTGAGAAACCCTACAGGTGTGAGGAGTGCAGCGGACAGTTCAGCAGGATGGGTAATCTAAAGACTCACATGCGGACTCACACAGGGGAGAAACCGTACAGATGTGAGGAGTGCAGTAAGCAGTTCAGCAGGCTGGTCCATCTAAAGGAGCACATGCGGACTCACACGGGTGAGAAACCGTACGGATGTGAAGAATGCAAAATGCAGTTTAGCCTTCTGCGTAGTCTAAAGGCCCACATGCGGACTCACACAGGTGAGCAACCGTACAGATGCGAGGAGTGTGGCAAGCAGTTCAGCACGCTAAGTAACTTGAAGACTCATATGAGAACTCACACGGGTGAGAAACCGTATAGATGTAAAAAGTGCAGCAAGCAGTTTAGTCAGCTGGGAAATCTAAAGACACACATGCGGACTCACACTGGTGAGAAACCGTACGTATGCAAGGAGTGCAACAGAAAGTTTATTCAGCTAGTAAGTTTAAAGAAGCACATGCGGACTCACGCAAGAGAAATCGAACATGTGTGAAAATGCAACGAAAACAACGATTTTATATCCCGATTGCCCTGTAATCTGTTTCTTAGGACGAGAAGTCCAATGTATAGTGTGTAAAAAGGCGAGAGTGCAGTTTTTCAATAATCTGTAAACAAGTTTTCTTATACTATCACAAAAGGTCATCTGTGTTGGTAGTTACATGTTTAAAGTTAAAACCTAGAGCTTTCGACCAGTCACTCTGGTCTTCTTCAGTAGACTGACCCAGTGAAGCTTGTCACTTGGCTTCTTTGAAGTGTGACTGGTCGAAAGAAGTACTTCAAGTAGAGTGTAAAATACGAACGTGGAGTTTGAACAATAGTGGCAGAGATTCATCGCTCGTTCGACGTCTGTCAATTACATGTAGTTGTCTTTGGTTCTTTTAGGTATTATTGTGTGCTATGATTGGAGTCAGTAGAGAGGTTTGTAGATCAATTTTAGCAATGTGACCTGAGCTTTTATTTACTGTTTTCTTTACGAATGCATGCTCCGTAGGCTGTTGGTTAGAACCAGAATGTGTAAAATGTGACTGTGGACTGACAATAGTGACAGAGTTACACGGTAAGAGACCGTTAGTTTGACATCAAGGCGCATGGTCCGTCTGTTATAGCACTTAGGTAACTTTTTTTCTTTGATTTACTTTTAACAAAGCACACAGCACTAGATCCTTAGAATCTAGCTTAGTTAGCAGCATATATGGTAGTTCTAGATGCACTAGAATGTTGGTAAATATTGTTTCTTTTTAAGTGTTGTGTAAGATACATAATGAAGCTGTTAGAGATTGGTTAACTTTCGGCATCTCAATTTTTCCAATAAATAAAAAAAAGGAAAGAGTTGTCTTCTTTATTGATATTTTTCTTGATGTTGTGTGAATTGCCCCCATGCAAATCAGCGCATGTAACATGAAACAATAAATTCAGACACGTAATACTAGTAATACGTAGTATGTTGTTGTTTTATTGATCACCAACTTTATTGTAAGTCTCCAACTCGGTCTCTTTTTACTACGAACGATGTTGTCTGACTCTTCTCTATGCAAATCAGCATTGTGCTTTCCTTTGTTTCGTAATCAAGTAAAACCTATCGGACCGGTTTTATCCACCCACCCAGTCCCCATATAAACGCGTCCTTGACTGCTCTGTTTCTGTCAGTACTGACTCTGCAGCCGTGAGGATCTGTGCCGTCGTGAAAACACCGTGCAGTACTTTGGAGCGTCTCTGCATCTTGGTAAGTGCTGACTATGATTTTATTTTCATGTATATCACCACAGGGCATCTTATTGTAGGCTACATTTTTAATCAACCGACGAAGGTTTTGTGTTAGATTCATCATATAACGAGTATGGTGCATATATCTTGAATGATATTGGGTTCGTTGGAGTTGTTCTCTAGTGGAGCTGCTTTGTAAGATACTACAGTGGTGTACCTTTGTATGATATGCCGTGTTCTGAATCTGCCATGATGTTTGTAACAGTATGCTTAGAAGAATTTCTCAGTATAACGGCGTGATTCCGCACGTATAGAATATTCTAAATTCCATTAAATTATACTTGTTCCTGCAGGGTTACGAGTTTGACCAACATGGCAACCAGAGCTGAATCTCACCTGAAACAAGAGGAGGGAGAGAGTGGAGGTGGAAAGCAGGATTCTCCGCGTACCCACAAGTGTGGCGAATGTGGCAAGGCGTTTCGCTTCCTCAGTCAGTTGAAGAGACACGTGCGGTTTCACACAGGTGAGAAACCGTACAAGTGTGAGGAGTGTGGCAAGCATTTCAGTACACTGACAGATCTAAAGAGGCATATTCAGACTCATACTGGTGAAAAAACATACAAATGCGAGGAGTGCAACATGCAGTTCGTTCAGCTGGTTAATCTAAAGACTCACATACGAACTCACACTGGTGAGAAGCCCTACCGGTGTGAGGAGTGCAGCAAGCAGTTCAGCACGATGGGTATTCTGAAGAGACACATGCGAACTCATACTGAGGAGAAACCGTATCAATGTGAGGAATGCAGCAGGTGGTTTGGTACGCTGAATCACCTGAGGTTGCATATCAGGACCCACACCGGTGAAAAACCGTACCGATGTGAGGCGTGCAGCAGGCAGTTTAGTCTGATGGGTAATCTGAAGAAACACATGCGGACTCACACAGGGGAGAAACCTTACAGGTGTAAAGAGTGCAGCAGGCGTTTCAGTCAGTTGGGTCATCTGAAGGAGCACATGAAAACTCACACAGGTGAGAAACCGTACAGATGTGAGGAGTGCAGCAGTCAATTCACCACAAGCAGCAATTTAAAGAGACACGTCGGGCGAACTCACAGAGCGGAGAAACCGTAGATGTGTTAAAAATGCAACGGAATCTTTCTGTTTGATGCATGCTATTCTATTGTAAGTGAAGCCGCTTGTTTACCGTTGTTTTCTGTCAGTACTGTATTCTATACACGATTCCAATGTTATAGTATTAACAGCTACATGTAATTAACAGTAGCGGTATATTAGTATCACGATCGATGCATGCTTCGTAGCCTGTTGATTAGAGCTAGAAGTCGTGTTTAAAATGCGAAAGTGTAGTATTTAGACAATAGTTACATGGTAGGACATCGTTCGTTAAACCCGTTTTGTGTCATTGTAACTTAGTCAACTACATGTACACATACAGGCATGTAAATATACCAGATCTGTAGCGTTTTGTGAAGTATGTTATTAATTCGCCGAAATGTAGTTTTCTTTGTTTTAGAATCTGTAAATATACTAGATTTTTAGCGTTTAGTTACGGTTGTAGCACACTAATGTTGTTTGTAAAATGTGAAGTAAAAAATGCTTCTTTTCTAGAGTTGTTTCTGTTAACTAAATATAGCTGTTAGAGATTTGCCAATTTTTTGCATCTCAGTTTCAACAATAAAGCGCGTTATGTGCCGTATTTACTGGTCACCATCGCCGTCATTTTTCCATGTTCCCTGTCCCCATGCTTTTTACCCTGTAGACCAGTGTGTAACATATATCTCGTAACTATCTGTATCTCGTTACCTGGACGATTCCCATGTTTTTGTGTTTTGTGATGTGATTTTTATTTTATGTCTAGTGGTGACGTGAATATAAGTATGTAGCTTGAGTGCGTCACCACTATGTATTGTATATTTGCATGTTGGAATAAATAAAAAAAAAATCTCGTAACTAGTCATCATCATTACGGCATCCCCATCGCAAATATCTTCTTCTTTTTGTGATTTTTCTTCTTCTCTATTTTGCTATAATTGTATAATAGACAATTGTTTAAACTGATATGCCAGACATAATTCCTTATATCTGACAAGGCGTCCGTAACTACACAACCCGGGTAATCAGGTTTTTCACCTTTAACCTTTGCCCTCAATTGGTTTGACCTATGCTGACGCTGAACCGCCATTTTTGAGCCGTGCGTGTGGTGTCATTGTTCTCTCCAATCTAAGGCGATTTCCACCTGACTTCGACTCTGTATCAACTCTGGGCAGTTTTGAAAGACAGGTAAGACCTTTGTTGACCTACACTCGCTGTGTCGCGGTACCAGGTACTTGTTCGGTTGTGAATCGTGTGATACTAGCAAATGTCCTTGATATAGAACAAGGACATTATACAGTATAATGACCTTGATTAGAACAAGAACTAGTGGGTAAAATGCAACTGGAGTATTTAGATATTTGTCAACTTTCTCAATTTCAGCAATAAATTCAGGTAATATGTTGTTGTCTCTCAATCTCTATCATTAGTAGTGGCGTACATTACCCTGAAATCCTCAGTCATGTGAGATCATGTGAAATATGGCGGTCTCTTTTTACTACCGTAACGAATGACGTCTGATTTTTGTATGAAGATCAGCATGGTCCTTTCCTTTGTTGCGTAATCAACCCACCGGACTGGTTTTATCCACACACTCAGTCCCTATTGAATAAAAGCCTGTCCAACGAAACAGTTCCCATTGTATGCAGAAAAATCATCCCTTTTATCTCAGTTTCAACAATAAATTAAAATGTGTTGTCTTTATCGTTATTGTCCAATTGATTGTCTTTTTGTCTAATGATATAGTCTGATTCCACTCCCTATGTAAATCGGCACGTGTAACATGATAATTTTCTTTGTCTCGTATTCAAGTAAAACCCACCGGACCGGTTTTATCCACCCACCCAGTCCCTACATAAACGCGTCCCTGACTGCTCTGTTTCTGTCAGTACTGACTCTGCAGCCGTGAGGATCTGTGTCGTCGTGAAAACATCGTGCTGTACTTTGGAGCGTCAGTGCATCTTGGTAAGTGACAGATTTTCCAGTATTTTCTTTATCTGTAACTTCCAAGTGGCATCTATTTTTAAGTTACTTTATAAATCGGCGGACGAAGAACTTACTTTTCATTCTTGGCTATTCATGCTAATCTGCCTGTTTGAATCATTGAAACCACTGTTAACGCCACACAAACCCTAAAATAAATTTCTACAAACCAAAACCGATACATGTTTATGTGCATTTGTCAGTATACACCATATAAATTTCGTGAACATCTGATATATTTACTTAAATGAAATATTGATTTTTTTTTGGTCATTCCTGCAGGACCAGTAGTTTAACATGGCTACCGGATATGCATCTCATTTGAACGGAGAGAATAGGCGTGGGGAGCAGGATGCTCCACGTACCCACAAGTGTGACGAGTGTGGCAAGGAGTTTCGTTACCTGAGTGATCTGAAGCGACACATGCGGACTCATACAGGCGAAAGACCTTACCGGTGTGAGGAATGTAAGAAAGGCTTTTGTCTGCTGGGTAGTCTGAAGAGACACGAGCGGACTCATACAGGTGAGAAACCGTATGGGTGTGAAAAATGTAGACAGCAGTTTAGTCGACTGTCAGGCCTAAAGACACATATGCGGACACACACAGGTGAGAAACCGTATAGTTGTGGGGAGTGTAGTAAGCAGTTCAGTCAGCTGAGTCATCTGAAGGAACACATGAGAACTCACACAGGTGAGAAACCTTACAGGTGTGAAGAATGCAGCAAGGAGTTTAGTCGACTGAGTGATCTGAAGAGACACGTGCGGACTCACACCGGTGAGAAACCGTACAGGTGTGAGGAGTGTGGCAGACACTTCAGTGAGCTGTGTAGTCTGAAGAAGCACATTCGGACTCACACTGGTGAGAAACCTTACAGATGTGAGGAGTGCGGCAGGCAGTTCAGTAGGCGGGGTAGTTTGAAGACGCACATGAGAAGTCACATGGGTGAGAAACCGTAGATTTGCAAAGAGTGCAGGAAGCAGTTTAGTCAACTGTCAAATCTAAAGAGACACGTACGAACTCCCACACTGAAAACTGTACACTTTTGAAAAATGCAACCAAATCTAAATCGGCGAAAATTTGGTGTAAAAAGCTGTGCAAGTATTTCGTCATGTAGCGATAAAGGGAGCTGTAGCAATGTTTGTATTTGATGAACAGACTGAGTCGTTTTAGAAGTCAGTTCCTCGTGGTATTCTTTAACAATGTGAACTCTTATTTTGCAGTTTTGTACTCTCTTAATGACTTCATCGTAAAACCAGTAACGTAACGTATTTTTTACGATCGTTGTTGCATGCTTTGTAGACCTTTGGTTAGAAGTAGAAATGTATGTGTGCAAATGCGATTGTGGTTTTTTGTAGTGACGGTTGGTAACATAGTCGGACACCGCTCTTTTGACGTCAAGGCATCATCGTCCGTCTGCTAAAGGACTTAGCTGGCTAGGTTTCCTTGTTTTAGTAACTGAAGTTTCTACTATTTGACTACTCGTCGTAGATCTACTACATAGAATTACTTGCACCAAACATGTTACAATAATTTTACATTGTTTTACATGTATCAAAGTATTGTTTGTTTTCATTTCGTAGTGTTCTGTAAGCTAAATGTAGCTGTTGGTTTTGGTAATAAATTCAGACAAGTAATATGATGTTGTCTTTCTTGTTTGGTCTCTAAGTGATGTTCCTATTGGCCAATGATGTTGTCTGATTCCCCAATGCAAATCAGCACATGTGACATTGTTTCTTCATCAAGTAAACCCACCGGACCGGTTTTATCCACCTACTCAGTCACTATATAAACGCGTCCCTGACTGCTCTGTTTCTGTCAGTACTGACTCTGCAGCCGTGAGGATCTGTGTCGTCGTGAAAACATCGTGCAGTACTGTGCATCTTGGTAAGTGCCGGCTGTAATTTTGTTTTCCTGTGTTTACTGTCATGTGACATCTTTTTGTAGGTCACGTATATTATAAATATACAGGCGAAGAACTCTTTTTCTACATTTCGAATTCTTTCTTTGCTATTGATGCTAAACTGGCTGTTTGAATCCTTAACATACCGAATTATGCATTTAAAGAAGTCACTCCATCAGGTTGCAGTGTGAAACCAGATTCAGGAGATTTCTTATGGTTTTATTGTGTTGTAGCTGTGAAAGTGTCTTATAAAAACTGTGGTGTTTTGTTCCTCGAATGTATTGTCTCCTTAAAAAAAGGGAGTTATTTTGGCGCCCATTTGTTGTCTAATCAAAATCAAATCTCTAATGTTGAATTTAATATTATTGCTGTAGGTTCAGATCACCATGGCGACAGCTGAATTCCATCTGAAACAAGAGGAGGGCGAGAATGGGCATCTAAAGCAGGATTCTCACAAGTGCGGCGAGTGTGACAAGGAGTTTCCTAAACGGAATGATCTGAAGCGACACATGCGGACTCATACAGGAGAGAAACCTTACCGGTGTGAGGAATGTAACAAAAGCTTCAGTCTGCTGAGTAATCTGAAGAAACATGTGCGGATTCACACAGGTGAGAAACCATATCAATGTGAAGAATGCGGCAGGTGGTTTGGTACGCTGTTTGGCCTGAGGTCTCATATCAGGACACACACCGGTGAGAAACCCTACACGTGCGAGGAGTGCAGCAGACAGTTCAGTGATCTGGGTAATCTGAAGAAACACATGCCCACTCACACGGGTGAGAAACCGTACAGGTGTGAGGAGTGCAGCAGGCAGTTTAGTCTGTTGGCTAATCTAAAGATACACATGCGGACTCACACAGGTGAGAAACCGTACAGATGTGAGGAGTGCAGTAAGCAGTTTAGCAGGCTGGGTCATCTGAAGCGTCACATGAGGACTCACACAGGTGAAAAGCCCTACACGTGTGAGGAGTGCAATAGGCAGTTTAGTGATCTGAATAATCTGAACAGACACATGACAACTCACACAGGTGAGAAACCATACAGATGTGAGGAGTGCAGCCGGTCGTTTAGTACACTGTCACATTTAAAGATACACATGCGGACTCACACAGGTGAGAAACCGTACAGATGTGAGGAGTGCAGCAGGCAGTTCACCACAAGCAGCAATTTAAAGAGACACGTCGGGCGAACTCACAGAGCGGAGAAACCGTAGATGTGTTAAAAATGCAACAAAAGCTTTCGTAAGAGTGAAAGAAGCACTCCCGTGAAAGACTGTCAGTGTCTTTCGACATTCTTTGTAAAGGTTACTGAGTGGCGATGTTTTAAATGTCCTCACTGTTTGATCTCATTGTATTAGTGTACTCTCTTTGTATTTGTGTTCTCTCTTAGTCTACATGACTCCACTGGTACACTGGTAAACAATAGCGGTGATTTTATATCACGATTGATGCATGCTCCGTAGCCTGTTGATTAAAGCTAGAAGTCGTGTGCAAAATGCAATAGTGTAGTAATTAGACAATAGTTACATGACAGGACACCGTTCATTTAACGTCAATGTTTCATTGTCCATCTGTTGTAGAACTTAGTCAACTACTGAAAATGTAATTTGTTTGTTTGTTTGACAGCAGTTCTGTGGGCTAGATGTAGCTTAGAGTGTAGCGATTTTCAACTTTTTGCATGTCAGTTTTAACAATAAAGCGCGTTATGTGCCTTATTTGTTTATCATTATCGCTTTCATTTTTCCATGCTCTACCCTTTTGTTGATTTCTCATATGTAAATCAGCAAACGTAACATGGTGCGTTCACATATATCTCGTAACTAGTCATCATCATCATTAAGGCATCTTCGCAAATATCTTTTTCCTAATTTTTCTTCGTCTATATTTTACTATAATTGTATTAGCTGTAGCATGGATAATCGTTTAAACTGATATACCAGAAAAATGCAATATTCGACAAGGCGTCCGTAACAACAGAATCCTTGACCCGGGCAATCAGGTTTTTCACCTTTAACCTTTGCCCTCGATTGGTTTGACCTATGCTAACGCTGAACCGCCATTTTTGAGCCGTGCGTGTGGTGTCATAATTTGTTGTTCTCTCCAATCTGAGGCGAGTCCACCTTACCTCGGCTCTGTATCAACTCTGGGCAGTTTTGAAAGACAGGTAAGACCTTTGTTGACCACCTACACTCGCTGTGTCGCGGTACCAGGTACTTCAAATCGGTCTTGATGCAGAATTAGTTAGCACCATACATGTTAGTTAGTTCTAAATGCCTCAAAATGTTGGTAAGTTTTGTTTGTTTTCAATGTGTTTTGTAAGATTCACTTGTAGCTCTTAGCGATTTAGATGTAGTTGCAGCATGTTACTTTAGTAAGGCATCAAATTATTGTTTGTTTTCTGTAAAATGTAGCTAGTAGAGATTTGTCAACTTTCTGCATCTCAGTTTCACCAATAAATAAAAACAAGTAATCTGTCTTCTTCATTGAATTTTTCCTAAGGATGTTGGCTAATTTGCCCATATGCAAATCAGCGGATGTAACATGATAAATTCAACAATAAATTCAGGCACATAATATGTTGCTGCTTTTATTGATCACCAACTTTATTGTTAGTCTCCAACTTGTTGTCTTTTTACTACAAATGATGCTGTCTGATTCCATATGCAAATCAGCACGGTGATTGAACTCGATCTCTTTTTGCTACGAATAATGTTGTCTGATTCTTCGTATGCAAATCAGCATGGCGCTTTCCTTTGTTTTATAATCAAGTAAAACCCATAGGACCGGTTTTATCTACCCACCCAGCCCCTATATAAACGCGTCCCTGCTCTGTTTCTGTCAGTACTGACTCTGCAGTCGTGAGGATCTGTGCCGTCGTGAAAACATCGTGCAGTACTTTGAAGCGTCCGTGCATCTTGGTAAGTGCCGACTATGATTTTCTTTTTCTGTTTTTACTTGCTATCAGTTCTGCCACGTAGCGCCTTGTTTTATAATTTAAATCGACTGACACATGTTTTGTGTCGGGTGTCGTACGTGTATCTTGAATGATATTGGGTAAGTATGTTTGCAATCTAATTTGCAATCTAGTGGAGCTGCTTTGTACGATACCTTTGTATGATATCTGGTGTTGCGAGTATGCTATGCTATGGCTTTCAGTTTTGAGTGATTTGAACAAGATCAGTTACGTGATATGGCATGTTTAGATGCATTTCTCAATATAACCGGTGCGAGTTCACACGTCAATTCAATAAAATATATGACATGCTATACTTACATAGTTCCTGCAGGGTTACGAGTTTGACCAACATGGCGAGCAGAGCTGAATCTCACCTGAAACAAGAGGAGGGAGAGAGTGGACATGGGGAGCAGGATTCTCCGCGTACCCACATGTGTGACGAGTGTGGCAAGGAGTTTCGCTACCTGAGTGCGTTGAAGCGACACGTGCGGACTCATACAGGCGAGAAATCTTACCGGTGTGAGGAATGTGGCAGGTGTTTTCTTGAGCTAGGTGATCTAAAGAGGCACGTTCGAACTCACACTGGTGAGAAACCGTACAGGTGTATAGAGTGCAGCAAGCAGTTCAGTGAGTTGGGTAATCTGAAGAGACACTTGCGGATCCACGCGGGCGAGAAACCCTACAGGTGTGAGGAGTGCAGTAGGCAGTTCAGTGAGCTGGGGCATCTGAAAGAGCACGTGCGGACTCACACTGGTGAAAAACCGCACAGATGTGAGGAGTGCGACCGGTCGTTTAGTACACTTTCGTGTCTAAAGAGACACATGCGGACTCACACAGGTGAGAAACCGTACAGATGTGAGGAGTGCACGCGGTCGTTTAGTACACTGTCAAATTTAAAGATACACATGCGAATTCACACAGGTGAGAAACCGTACAGATGTGAGGAATGCAGCAAGCAGTTTAGCAGGCTGGGTAGTCTAAAAACACACATGCGAATTCACACAGGTGAGAAACCGTACAGATGTGAGGAGTGCAGCAGGCATTTCAGCAGGTTGGATAATCTAATGACTCACATGCGGACTCACACTAGTGCACATGTGTGAGGAGTGCGGCGTGTGTTTTGTTGGACCTATTGATCTAAAGAGACACAAGCGGCCTATATTAAGGATCCCATTTGAACACACATCGGCGAAAGCCTGCCAATGTGGTTATTAGGGTTACCTAGTGGGATTGTTTTAACTGTTTATACCGTTTGATCTTATTTTGTTATTCTCTTGCAAGTGAAACCCCTTTTTTCACTGTTTTTTTCTGTCAGTGTCAGTGCTAGAAGTCATGTATAAAATACAACAATGTAGTGTGTAGACAATGGTTACATGGTAGGACACCGTTGGTTTAACGTCATTGTGTCATTGTCCGTCTGTTATAGAACTTAGTCAACTACAATTAGTTTTATTTGTTTTAGTATCTGTAAATACACCAAATCTTTAACGTTCGGTTACAGTTGCAGCATGTTAGTTATTAATACATGGAAATGTAATTTGTTTGTTTTACTGCAATTCTGTAAGGTAGATGTAGCTTAGAGTAAGAGATTTGCCAACTTTTTACATCCCAGTGTCAACAATAAAGCGCGTTATGTGCCTTATTTGTTTGTTATCGTCGCTTTCATTTTTTCCATGCTCTACCCTTTTCCTAAGGACATTGATTTCTCACATGCAAATCAGCACACGTAACATGGTGCATTCACTATCTTGACCAAGTCGTTCTCTTTTCCTAATTAATAAGGGTGTTGCCCGCTATTCAAGTCATTTTAGATTTTTTATTTGCTGGGACTATAGAGGGTGAAAATTAGATTTTTTTTGTACACACAATAGATTTTTTTATACCAGTACATTAATTTAAAGACGTCACATGCGAAGCCTGTCAATGCCTGTGGCTTAAAGGTTCCTGGGTGGGTACGTTTTAATGTCCTTACTGTTTGGTCTCATTGCGTTATTCTTCTGCAAACGAAACTTCTGCAAACCGCTTATTATTTTTACTACCAGTAGTATTTCAACTTACTTTGTAAAGAAACTACCAGAAAATTAAAATTAACATCCTAATGTTACGTACTGCTCCTTTAAGCTGACTCACGCAGTGCCTATGCGTAGAATAAACATGTCTCAGCTTAGAGTGTTGGTAGTTTCTACATGTAAGGTCTGGCAACATCTAACGTTGAGTTCTCCTCACACCAGGATGTCTTAACCACAACCTGCTTGTTTATGCCATAGTTTGTGCTTATAAACCTGCATTTCCCCTCTGGTCTTTCAGTCACTGACGAAAGCTAGTGGATACTAGCTGAAACGTCTGACCGTTTCCAAAATCATATCCAGTTGCTTGAGTAACTGTTTTTTGGCGTATCGTATTACCTGGATCTCTAACCTTCACCGACGCACAGCCAGCTTGTTTACCCGAAACGTGACGCGTCAAACGTTCAACACTACCCGTTTTTCCCAGTCATGCCCACAATGATTGCCTGGTTCTGACGTTGACAGAACATTGCATGAATAAAATCAGCAGAGAAAAATATGTGGGAAAGAAAAAAATCCAACTTAAAAGGAAGCTTTTGAAAGGTTAAACTTTTGGTCCAACACAAGAAAGTCTCTGCCTCAGCCTAGAATGTAGGCTGTTTGTACATGTGACGCCTAGGTCACTTCTAAGTCGTCTTCACACCCGGATGTCGGAACCCACGTTTCACGACTGTAGCCGGGGCCGCTTCCCTCATATGTGGGCGCCCGGTTACTTGCCTGGAGCAGCTGAAGGGAAGATGAATAAAAGATTTGTGATTAGCAAAGGGCTGTTCTCAGTATTTTCTCTATTCCTGTCTGCTTACTTTATTTCAGCATCATGAATTAGCATTTATGTTTCATTTGCCATTCTTTATCATTCTGGAATGATGTGTAATTTAGTACAAATTATTGATTTTTACACGACAGTTCTACCAGATACGCACTGATAGTCCTTGGAAAAACATTAAGGTTTGTATACTCAGTACTTGTATCTGTTAACTCGACATGTCTGCATTCTTAATTAAATATCACATCAGTTGTGAAATGATACGAACCTGATGGCAGGACTTGGCAGATGAAACCGAAGCTTATGTTACAATTCTCATCATACCAAAAGACCGACGAGAGAGACCTGCCCGATCCCCAGTACAAAGCGCAGTGCTGTTTTCCCCCATAGTTGTTGGGTTGACCGCTCTTCCACCGGTTGTAGCCAGTCCCCAAAGAGGTGCCGTCTATCCACTCCCACTTGCCTTCTTGTCGCTCATCATGTAAGCCGATCCAAAAGTCGAATGTCTGTTTCATCAGGGAGACGAGGAAGTTGTCGATACCGGCGTCGCGGGGCATGGCGAGGGTGCCTCCGTCAGCCCGACAGGTCTCGGCTGATTTGGAGAACGTCTTCAAGGCGGCAAAGACTTTGTAGCAGACTTCAAGATGCTTCTTGTAACCGTCAGGACAGGTCGCTAAAACAGGAAATGTCTGGTATTGAGAGACATGACACTTATACCGCATAGACTGTAGTCTACTCCAATTCTCGTTTGTGCAATTCTTTTTTCCACTAATCTAGTTAGTCATGGTAAGTCATTAATTTGTTCTTAACCGACAAAGAGAACGATGCATTTGGCATGAGAAGCTAGACGGGGCTAATGAATAATAATTAAGTCACCATATTGTGAAATCTTCCTACCTGGCAGGCGTATCGGAGCGCGCTCTTTCTCCGGTTTGTCTTGTTTGTTCTTCATCATGTCCTCCAGCTTGCTCGAGCGTTGCAGTATCTTCTTCTTAAGCTCTGACATGGTCAGCTGTGCCACGCTGGCTGCGACGTTGTTCACAGATTTCTCATTTTCCACGAGCTTTGCCGACATTTCCTGTAAATCAAATGCCCTGCTTTACAGCCATGTTTCGCAATGGATGGAAGCAATGAATATAGCTCAGTAAGATATGCGGTTCCCCAACTCGCCATCTTAGCGGAAATATGTCATTAGATAATATTGGATTTTACTGTTAAAATTAGTAAGACATCGATTAGAATTCATCAACTCTCCAATATGTCATCTAGGCTCTGATATATTTTATGAGAAGCATTTTCTTCTAACCTGCTGGCGATGAATCCACCCAGAGACGTTTGCCTGGATCCCGGCTGTCTTCGTGTCCAGCTTGCTGACCGACAGCTTCAGATCCGACAGATCATCAGTTGTCTTCTTGTCGAGCTTGTTTAATGCAATCTTTAGATTCGACAGATCATCAGTTGTCCTTTGATCTAGCTTGTTGACTGACAGCTTCAGGTCTTTCAGATCGCCCTTTGTCTCCCGGTCAAGCTTTCGGACTGTCATCTTCAGGTCAGACATCTTCATAGCTGTATAAATGGAAGAGAACACCGAATAATGTAGGAAAGAGGACAGACAATTACAATTAAAGAACGTTCAGTTTTTAATTTTCTACTAACAATATTCTAAGAAAAATATTCATTGCTCATTTATTTACCCAGAAAGGTGGTAACTCCCAGCAGACAGCAAATCAAGAACATTGTCACCACAGCGTAGGTTTTCAACATGGCGCTGGTCCAGACTCGGGACTGACCAGGGCTGCTCATACCGAACGCTGGGATGTACCCAGCGGTCTCAGCAGAGGCAGGTCTGGGGTCAGCGGCTTGGCGCTCGGACAGAGACCCAGACGAACCTGAAGAATGTACAATATTCAATATATCACGTTTTTTTCTGCTGGGGTAAATTCTAACAACTAGAGACACTAAGAATCACGTTTGAACTGTAATGGCCGACACAAAAGATCGGACTGGCCAAAACAAAAGATCGGACTCACCCAAATTTACCATTACCATAAAATTGGCCATTATAGTTCAAACTTGTTTCATAATGACTTCTACCAAAATGATAATACAGATGAACTTTCAAGATAAACCTAGAGACACTATACCTTTGCTAAATGATTTTAAGATCTATGATTTATTATGGCTTCGTGGTGTGGTGAAACGTATTATTATGGCTTCACCACACCGTGAAGTGGGATAGGTCCATTTTTGGTACGGGACATGTGGTGAAGCCATTTGCTCCTGAGCAAATGCCAGTCTTTCTATTGTAAATTATGTATTTTCCTCCTCAATCATGGAAATAATATCCTCTTTTGTATAAACTACTTTAGTTGATCATATTATCAACCCAATGACTTAACAAAGAAGGCCTAATTTGCATAATTGACAAAATTTCTACAGTTTCGTCTTGGAGCCCTTGCTTATTAGGTTGTACTACATTTTGACATAACAGGTGACGATCACATTTCTATCGGTAACAGTGTGAGTTCGTATGTGGCAGTAAGAATGTCTGGCGCTTCTGAGTTATTTCTGATCTTTACAGATCCTTACCTGGTTCTTTTGCTGAGTCTGAGGCGAGGTTCAGGCCAGCGGCCCTCTTTGTAGTTGAAACCCTCGACGGAGAGACCGTGCAGGCCTCTTCGTAGTCATTGCTGGCATCCTCGTTGTAGGAATTGCTGACGTTGCAGGCCACCTTGTAGACGTTTTCTTCCATCGCAGCGCAGGCAGCCGTCTTCTCGCCACCAACTTGTTTACCCGAAATGTAGCGTTTTGAACGTTATCTGTTGTTTTTCACACCCATGATAATTGTCTGGTTCTTACGTTGGCACTGAAGATTACATGAATTGAATCAACACAGAAAGACGCACGAAGAAAGACTCGCCTCCCTTCCATCCATATGCGTACCAAACAGTGACGTTCCAAGAACCACTCGAAACACTCACAGACCAATTAAGCTCACAACACTTTCTACGTGATTTTTTTTCTTTGCAAAGGTCATGTTTAGCCGGTATCATCTTTAATATTATGTTATGATGCGCACGCATACAGGAGAGGGGTAGCCTCACCCATGTCCTCAGTGTCAGCAATATTTTATTGACCAAGGGTCGCGGCAGGCCTTTTATCATTCTTTCAGCATATGTCATGTTTATTTCTTTTCTCATGTAAGATGAACAATGATGATAAGACAATTAATTCACTCTGCCATTGTACTTCACCCACGGTTCTATCCTTTCACTATACAATCGGCAACTTGTATACAACTCTTACCAATTCTACGTTTATACATGGATTCAATATACATGTATTGACCGGCCCCTCATATCTTGTCCTCCACAAACCTAGGCCTATGTGGTAATGCTCTGGGTAAAACCGCTGAAAAATGAAATCATTCTAGAAGACATTTTTATGAATCGTCGATCTCCTGGATGCAAGGCGAACTAACACTGTACCATTTTAAGTTATTGCATCGGTTATTCTGTTATCATTCAAATTGCAAGGTGAAAATCTGAAACAGTGCAATAATTGTGAACTCTTATGTCGATCATCTCAAGACATTAAAAATTTAAAGCCCTAGTTCCTACGTAAGCAGACTAGCGCCGTGGTGCTGTCCATGGAATTAAACTTGCCTCAGACTAGATGTTGGCTGTTTCTACGTCTACGTCACTTCTAAGTCGTCTTCACTGCACCCGGATGTCGGGACCCAAGTTTTACGACTGTAGCCGGGGGCGCTTCCCATATATGGGCGTCCGGTTACTTGCCTGGAGCAGCTGAAGGGAAGATGAATAAAAGATTTGTGATTAGCAAAGGGCTGTTTTCAGTACTTTCTCTAGTCCTGTCTGCTTACTTTATTTCAGCATCATGAATTAGCATTTATGTCTCATTTGCCATTCTTTATCATTGTTGAATGATGTATAATTTAGTACAAATTATTGATTTTTACAAGTCAGTTCTACCAGATACGCACTGATAGTCCTTTGAAAAAAAAACATTAAGGTTTGTACACTCCATACTTGTATTTGTCAACTCGACATGTCTGCATTATTCATAAAATATCATATCAGTTTGTAAAATAATACGAACCTGACCGCAGGACTTGGCAGATGAAACGGTAGCTTTTGTTGCAATCCCAACCATGCCAACACCAACGGACCGATGAGCGAAGCTTGTAGTACAAAGCGCAGTACTCATTCCCCCAAAAGTTGTACGGTTTACCGCTCCTCCACCGGTTGTAGCCTGTCCCCAGAGCGGTGCCGTCTATCCACTCCCACTTGCCTTCCTGTCGCTTATCATGTAAGCCGATCCAAAAGTCGAATTTCTGATTCATCAAGGAGACGAGGAAGTCGTCGATGCCGGCGTCGCGGGGCATGGCGAGGGTGCCTCCGTCAGCCCGACAGGTCTCAGACGATTCGGAGAAGGTCTTCTTGACGTCAAAGGCTTTGTAGCAGACTTCGCGATACTTCCTGTAACCGCCTGGACAGGTCGCTAAAACCGAAATTGTCAGGCATGGCACTTACACCACAGGCACTGTAGTCTACACAAAATTATCGTCTTTGCAATTCTTTTTTTCTCTAATCTTGAAGTGATCGACTTGACCTTTAAAAAGTATCAAAATCCAAAACTTTGAACTGCCTAATTGATGTAATAGCTACTTTCAAGATGTTTTAGGTACTTGTATCGTAGTCCACACTTCCGTGTTGCCTTATTTCCTTTTGAATAAGTTAGCTCGTTCATACATGCACCTGTTTCTACATCTTAATCTTATTTAAATCCTCCTTAAGAAATTTAAAAACCTAATGAAAGGGTAGTTTTTGTTGGACAAATTTACGTTTCTTAGATTTTTGTATTAGAAGTTATTGGTAAGTCATTAATTTGTGCTTAACCGACAAAGGGAATGATGCATTTGGCAAAAAGATGGAGACTGGACTAATGAATTATGAAACCACTTAGGTCACCATATAATGAAACCTTCCTACCTGGTAGGCGTATCGGAGCGCGCTCCTTCTCCGGTTTGTCTTGTTTGTTCTTCATGTTGTCCTCCAGCTTCTCCAGACGTTGGAGTATCTTCTCCCTCTCAAGCCCTGATTTGGTCAGCTGTGTCACGCTGGCTGCAACGTTGTTCACAACTTTCTCATTTTCCACGAGCTTTGCCGACACGTCCTCTTTCACTTTCTGTAAATGAATGAATGAATGAATGAATGTTTATTTACGTGTCATTTCAACCATACGTCGCCCAGCCCATATGGGATTATAAGGCACCGACGATTATAAAATCATAACAACTCAAAAGGTACAGAGAGTCAGAATCAGATATAACATAAATTATAACTTAATATAATATAATATATAAGTAAATAAATACAGGAAATTAAGTAATACTAGTCACAGTACAGAAATCAAATCAAATATAACATAGATGTTAATTAATAATGATTTAGGTTCAACCAAAATTGATAATGCATAAAAGTAACAAGAGGTAACTGTAACATGACTGGTATATACACACAACCAATCAAATGCCCTGCTTTAACAGCCATGTTTCGCAATGGATGGAAGCAATGAATATAGCTTTAAGATTTGCGGTACGTTAACTCGCCATCTCAGCGGCAATATGTCATTAAATAATATTGGATTTTACTGTTAAAATTAGTAACACATCGATTAGAATTCACCAACTCTCCAATATGTCATCTACGCCATGATATGTTTTACAAAAAGAATTCGCTTCATACCTGCTGGCGATGAATCCAGTCAGAGACGTTAGCCTGGATCCCGGCTATCTTCGTGTCCAGCTTGCTGACCGACAGCTTCAGATCCGACAGATCATCAGTTGTCTTCTTTTCGAGCTTGTTGAATGCCAGCTTCAGATCTGGCAGATCATCAGTTGTCTTCTGGTCGGACTTGTTGAATGCCAGCTTCAGGCCCGACAAATCATCAGTTGTCTTCTGGTCGAGCTTGTTGACTGACAGCTTCAGGTCTTTCAGATCGCCCTTTGTCTGCCGGTCAAGCTTTCGGACTGTCATTTTCAGGTCAGACATGCTCATAGCTGTATAAATGGACGAGAACACCGAATAATGTAGGGAAGGGGACAGACAATTATGATTAATGAAGGTTCAGTTTTTGATCATTTTCTACTAACAATATTTTAAAATGATACATTGCTCATTTATTTACCCTGAAAGATGGTAACTCCCAGCAGACAGCAAATCAGGACCATTGTCACCACAGCGTAGGTTTTCAGCACGGCGCTGGTCCAGACTCGGGACTGACCAGGGCTCCCCAGACCGACCCCTGGGATGTACCCAGCGGGCTCAGCAGAGGCAGGTTCGGGGTCGGCCGCTTGGCTCTTGTCGTTAGGCTCGGACCCAGATGAACCTGAAGGATGTACAATATTCAACCTATCACGTTTCTGCTGCTGGGGTAAATCCTAACAACTAAGGACACTATGAAACAGGTTTGAACTGTGATGGCCAACACAGAAGATTTAATTTTATGGATGACATCCACGCGCGCACTGATTTTCGGTTATTCTAAAAAAAATAACAGATCACGTCATCCGAGGCTCTGGCATGGCTCTAAACCTGCGTAGCCATGGTACTTAGCGACAATACTGAGCCGGTGGTAACTGTGGAGGATGGCACCCGGCAGGCTACCAAAACTCCACGTCTCAAGAACTCACGACATACGTACAGTGCCGATACAATTCGGCAAAAGCCGGCATGTGCTGCCTTGTTGTGTACGTCACTATGTACTGCCGCGATTTCACAATACCAGCTTTCTATTCCTATGGTTTAGTAGCATTGTTATTTTTGGTCGAATTTTTTAGTCGCCCGCGCGCACTAGTTTGGGGGTCTTCAGAGGATGTCATCCATAAAATCAAGTCGGTGTGGCCTTACCATTACCATAAAATTGGCCAATATAGTTCAAACTTCTTTCATAACGACCTCTATCAAAATGACAATACAGATGAACTTTCAAAATAAAACTATAGACACTATACCTTTGCTAAATGATTTTTACATGTATGACTTATTATGGCTTCGTGGTGTGGTTAAACATATTATTATGACTTCACCACACTGTGAAGTGGGATAGGTCAATTTTTGTAGGGGGCATGTGGTGAAGCCATTTGCTGCATGCATTTGCTCCTGAGCAGATGTCGGCCTTTCTAATAAATTATGAATTTTTGTCATAAATCATGCAAATAATATTCTCATTTGTGTAAACGACTTCAGTTGATAATATTATAAACCGAATGACAGTCTTATCAGTAGTAATATGACGGCCGGAGAGGTCCTATAATCCGGGCGGCTCCGGGCGGCTCCGTTGGCGCCGCCCTTATTAGCATAATAGTATGTGTATATAACATATATATGCATATATATATATATATATATTTATACATACCTATGTTTATTGTTACATCTATGCTATATACATATAAATATAGATATATATATATATATATAATAAATATAAATAAATAAATAAATATATATATATGTATTGTATGTATACATAGTCATATCTATACATATGTTTATGTCTACATATGCATGCGTGTGTGTGTGTGTGTGCGTCCATATATCTATATTATGTTTATATTTCTATCTATCTATCTATCTATCTATCTATATATATCTATCTATATCTATTTATCTATCTATATCTATCAATCTCTCTCTATATATAATCTACGTGTTGCTCCGGAGTAAAATATTACTCCGGAGTAAGTATTACTCCGTAAAATGTTACTCCGGAGTAAGTATTATTCAGTTTTGGAGTAAAATGTTTACTCCGGAGTAAGTATTACTCCGTTTTGGAGTAAAAATGTTTACTCCGGAGTAAGTATTACTCCGTTTTGGAGTAAAATGTTTACTCCGGAGTAAGTGTATTGGTAGCAAGTAAGTATATTTGCCATGGTGGTCCGAATCGTGTATGTGTAGATATATCGTATGTGCATATACATGAACTTCGGAGTAAATGTATGATTACTCCGGAGTAAGTGTACCTGTGGTAAGTTACGCACGTGTATGCGTATCATGCGTGCATGGATACACCGACACAATGACGCATAAGACAGTTATAGTTTCGTCACACTATATTGATCTCTTGTCGATCAAGAGTATACCGAGAAACTTACAAGCCAGCGTACGTCTCGTCTTACAGCTATAGCTGTTACATTTAGGAAAAGTCGTACTGTCGGTGGTAGGACGACACTGACAGTGTGAAAATATATATATATATATATATATATATATATATATATATATATATATATATATATAT